ATCAATTGTGATATCAATTTTTTGTGATTCTAACTTATAGTTCATGCGCGTTCATACGTTCCTATGTTCTACCTGTACGTTATAACACTTTCTTCTATGCTATCGATAAAGAGCCATTGCTCGAAACGTCTAGCTATTTTTAATAGTTATTTAGGACTACGATTACCAAATATTATCTTCTATAAGATCAATAATTGTTGTATATAACAGTGACCAAAAAGGCCAAATAATCTATTGGCATTTAGTCTGAAGTTGTTTATGGCGTTGCAATTTATCAATCCAAGTATTATTTATGTTTAATATTTACAGGTGATGGTTGACTGTGATATCAAAACACTTGCAAGGTTATTGAATAATACAGAAGAGTTTGCGTCTGCATTGAGTAATGCATGTCAGAGATACATGGATGATAGACAGTCCTCAATAGAAGCTGTGGAAATATTACGGCTGTATCACAAAGCAAGGAAGAATCAAGAACTCAGTGAAAACATGCAATCTTAATACGATCATTAAACAATGTCAAAGTTTCATCACAACTTCTACTTGAGCAGCCTCAGATGCCCCGGGGAGTTCTCTTAATAAAATATGGTACACAAGCTGAAGTAAAAAACGTGAAAAAGGGTGTCATTTAGTTATTTCACGCATATACGTGTGTACCGTGTTTAGGGTCGAATATTTTAACATATATAAATAAAGTGTGAAAAAAAGGAATCTCATGAATTCATGTTACCTCAACTTGGAAACAATATAATTTTAGTATGTATATATGGTATCTATTTTAAGTTTCTGCACTTGAAAAGGGATATAAGTACGTGTTTAGAGGCTTTTTTGGAAAGCTATACTTCAGCATAGGTACCAGGTCTGACTTGGAGTACCCTCCCCCCTCCCCTGGCTTAGATGTCAGAGCGCCCTCATAATTTGTACTAGTGCACCCTCTGGTGTCAGAGCGCCCTCATAAGTTGTGAATCATACTTAATTTCATAGTGAAATATCAACATTTTCGGAGTTGAGATAAGATGCCTAAATTCCATATTCAATGCATTGGATTGTTGGTTAAATATGAAGACCACTTTCTCAGAAATGAAATGAGGAGCAAACAAGACATTGGCTTTTGTCATGACTGCGAATACAAACATGTCAGTCTGCATGCATGCATGTTTACATTGCACCCCATATATCTGGTATGTATGCATATATGTAGCGCTGTATCTTCAACTTCCAGGAAAGTAGTCTATTAGACCCAGACTGTTTGACATTTTGCAATGGGTTTACTCTACTATGTGACATTTTTTTCTCATTTTTAGCTCCACTGTCGACAGAGCAGAGCTGTTCATATTCCTGATTGTTGGTCAGCGTCAACTTTACATTTTGACTTCTTGAAAACACCAAGTGCACTTGCTTTGTTACTTGGTATATATATGTACCTTGGGTGAACCACTTTCAGATTTGTATATTTCATGAAGATATTTTCAAATCTCTAATTTAAGTGATATTTTGGATGACTTCTTAAAAATGGTTAGCCTGATTTCTTTGATATTACATATGTAGACACCTCAAGTTGACCTTAGTTAGATTTATTCAATTTGTGACAATATCTTCAATTCTCAAATTTTAGTGAATATTTTTGTCATTTTTGATAAAAAATTATGTTTTTGACTTCTTCTTTAAAATAGTTAGCCAGACTGCTTCAATATTTTATATGTAGACACCTTGTAGTGGACCTTGGTCAGATTTGTTCATTTTATGATACCTTCAGTTCTCCAATTTTATAGAATATTTTTGCCGAGAGACTGATTGATTTTAACATCTGATATATTTTTCTCTGTACTCTTCAAATAATTTGAAATGGTCCACTAACACCATGGCAATGATTATTCCAGGACATGTAAATAGTTTAAGTCTTTCATTCTAAGATTATTATTACAATCTGTTATATTTAGACTTGTGTATAATTGTAAATAAATATTTTTTAAGAATATGATTTTTAATAATTTATTATTTCTGGAATGTGTCCCAATTTGTAATGTTATTGTGGTGCAAATACAGATGGGGTTTGTTATTGATACAAGCAGGATAAAACTAAATCCTGGGTCTACTTTTGCATAAATTGTATCATACATTGACCACTACCAATATTTTTACCACATTTTTCCCACCAATATTGGCTGGTTTAAAAATCAAGAAGTACAAAACAGATATTTTATAATGTTTCATCGATCATGAATGGGTAAAAACATTGTACAACAATGTAGACATAAAAAATAACTTAAAACATAAATTAGTTAATAAAAAAAAAAGTATACAACATTTCAATCTTTCAATTTGTTTCAGACAGTGCTGTTATTAGTTATGATGATTATCGTACCTTTCTTGTCTGTTTGATAATTCAAAGAAACCATGTACATAGCGCAGAGGCATGAAATTATCACAACTGGGGGTAATTCTGAGACGTATTTATTGCTATTAATTCTTCATGATATGCAGTGAAATTATGGAACTTGTAGTGGAACAAATCCAAAGGAGGAAAGTAGACATGCACCTTGCATAAAGGATTCTATACGCCACGACATGAGTGCACTACAGTTGTGAAGAACAGGTTGGCAGCTTACAAGTCATGCTACTCAATAATATATTCATCAAAAACACTTTTCATACAAGGTAATAAAATTGTCAAAACTGGGTCAGTCTAGGGTTAGGATAGACTAGGATTGTAACATTACATACGGTACACGGGAAAGACACGTGTTAAATATCATGTATTGATATGGTGAATGCTGTATTGGAAAGTAATACAATAAAGGTGATACAACTTTGCAAACTTATATAAATACAACTTTTAATGAGCACATTTGATGTGTGATATATCACAGCACAAATTCATCAGAGGTTATATACCATTCTTAATTCATTTTCAGACATAGCTTGTTGTTAAACTCAAAAGAATGAGCAGTATTTATTTATAAACAAGTAGTCTTTGGGTGACAATGACTCTAGATTTAAATTTGTTTTATGTTACATACATTTTATTAACACAGAAAGATGGGATAGTACTCAAACTAGAGTCAGTGTCATTAACAGTAAAACACTGAGATGACAAATGTGACAAAACAGCATCTGTGATTTGCAAGTG